GGGGGGGAGAGAGACAGATTGATTGATTCCCAAACTCTTAGGTTAGGAGCCTCTTTAGCTCCAGAACAGTCAAGTGTTTGAAGAGAACATCTGTTTTCAACATGTATACTCTGTGTATGCCCGATATTTTTTGCACCATAATGGAGTATAATTTCTAGTAATCGCCCAGTGATACCAATTGTTCTTATTTTGCACTTAACAATGTTGATCCTAAGTCTCTTCCTTAACAGCAGCTAGTTACTCAAGTATGTTTGTGCTTTTGGAATGTCAACAAATGCTACATCACCAAAACAGAGGCCCTCTCTCTTGTTTCCATCTGGGATTTTACTTTGTCTTAAAAAAAAAAAAAAAAAATAGTAAGTAGAGATTTAGACTGCTTTACACACTTGGTAATTAGCCATTAGAGAAAAAAACGTATTTTTAACCATCTGATTGATATAATAATTACTGTTTTTAAACTTTCTGGTCATAGAATTTTGGTGGTGGGTATCATGAGTCACAATTTGTAAGTATTTCATTTTAAGGGACCAAATCTTTTAAGTCCTTGGCAAACATTCACAAAGCACAAAAAGAGATGCAGGTTGTTTCCAAGGGATTACATTCCTCTTTGAACCATGCCTCTGTCCAAAAGAACTCGCACTTTTCTGTTGGATTTCAACAGAAACAAATTAGTACATATTTATTACTGCACACCCACTGTGGGTTAGGGCTCACTCAATCATCGGTTCATTTTTCTGTACTTCGTGCTAAAACTCATCAATTTTGTGCCTTTCTCTCCATTAGATCTACTGTTTGTGGGTTTCATTAATCACTGTCAAAATTGGTTATTTTGTTTTTAAAAAAATCCTTTGTTTACTCTCAATGATATCTGATAATTTGAGTCATGGAAGAAGAAATTATGTAGAATTAGAAGAGTCAAATGAAGCATTAAAAACTTCTTTTAAAATTTAAGGTCAGTTAAGTAATTTTTTGGAAATGAAACCACAAGGGAAGAAACAAAGCAAATAACCTAGAAATTTGATTTCAAAACACACAACTGACAAGGAAATGAATAAACGTGGTACAGTTTGTCACTCATGCCTGGTCCAATTTGGCATAATAAATGCTTTTAAATGAAGATGAACACACATTGATTCATAGGCACTATCTAATTAACCTTGACAATGTAGACACCAGGTATTACTTGGTTATTCCTATGATGCCAGCCATGAAACAGACAGTTTTTTCCATATAACCTGAATCTAAGAGTAATCAGAGCCTGCATGATATAAGTCAGAGCACCAAATAGGAAACTGGAAGCTAGACTAAAAGATGATAAATATACCTTAAGTCTTTAGTTTTAATTTATCTCTACAGAGAAGCTAAGGAAATCTACAGATGAAAGTGCCTGTGTTGCCTTTTAATTTGCAATAATGGAGATGGATATAATTAAGGGGGTGGCATTTATACATGTGGATGCAATTTTTGAGGCAGAATTCATTTTTGCCTTATAGTGTCTGATGGCAATTACAAGGCTGTTTGAGCTCTGTGTGTCCTAGTCTCAAGAAAGTATTGAATTTGTGATTTTAATATGCTTCTTCCTGCAGGCACTTTCCATGCCAGTGGGAATGCTCTGCACTGTCGGACCAAGCTCTCAGCATGTGCAGGAGCCAAGAAAGAGCCTAGCAAACAGTACTGCGGGGATACACCATGCATATATGTAGAGTTAGACAAGATTAGACAGCTCCACAGGGCACACCGCAGAGGCAACAACATTCTCAGAATGCCTGGAATATATATTAATGAGGCCTTAGATCTGCACTGTGCTTTGCAAAATATTTACAATATTTTAAGTAAAGAAAGATAGATGATAGATGATAGACATAGATATATAGATAAAAGCAATCTGTGAAATAGGCAGAGAAGGTAATATTACATACTTTTTAATAATGAAGAAACTGGATGCATAGTTATGCAATTTGCCTAAAGTCATGTGGTCAGCACATTTTAGAAAGAGGTTAGAATCCAAGGTTTTCTGACTCCAGATCCGGAGCTCTTTTGCATAGCCATATTCCCCTCCATTCACCACTCTTCTCGTGTCAAATTCTGGCTTCCCTTAGAAGTGAGGAAACTGAGAGTTATTACCAGAGCATCTTGAAGAAAAGCAGAAGAAAGCCCCTTCTGTTGTTACTTGTCTTACACCATGTTCACACTGACAAACCTGCCCTGCCTCAGCAGGCCTTAAGACCCAATCCCCCTACTAAAGGTAAGACATTAAGGGAAATGGGAACACAAGTCTGCAAACTGGCTCAACCACGACTCCATTAGTCTATCTATTTATTCATTCAAAAATATGTCTGAAGTATATCTTACATGCCATTTCTCCCTCTCACTTCAGTGCAAAAGTTGTTCCAGCCTCTGGAGTTCTGACTTATCCTGTCTAACCTCCTACAGAACATGACTTCATTAAATATTGTCTGTCTTGGCCTTATACTCAACATTTCCTGGCCCTAGAATCTATGATCAGTAGATAAGGGCTTCCTGGGCCATCTTTAGTTCAATTTGCTCCCTTTCATTCAAAGCCAAATGTTTTTTAAAAGTTGTCTCTACTTCCTAACCCCTCACTTATCTGACATTCTACTATAGTGTTATCCCCCTGTATGCTGCGGCCCATGCTGCTCCCTTGAGGGTCCTGAGAGAGAGCGGCAACAGATTAAGAAAGACACAGACACAAAGACATAGAGAAAAGCTGGGGCCAGGTGGGACAGTTTCCTCTGATGGAGGAGAAGTGGCCCCGAACTAGCTCAGCACATTTATTTTATAATCAAGCACTAGGGAAGTTGGAAGGGATTCAAGGTCTGTGAGGGAGCTATAACGGAATTATGTTGCCACCCGAATGGTGAGCTCTTCCGCAGTTATCTTGTTGTAACTAAGGCTTTATCCGTACTATGTGCACCCCGATGTGTGGGCATCTGAGACACCGTTTCATACAGAAGGCTGCATCCCTCATAGCCTGCCTTTGACTAGGATGCAGAGCTTCCAAGCGAGACCTTGCCTACGAACTCGGGGCCGTTTAAGCGAGACCTTGCCTTCACTTGGGGCCTTTACTCAAGGTCTGCTACGGTGACAGTGCTCGTCTGCTCCCCACATCACATCTGCTTCTGACACCTGTAGTCTGGTTTCTGTCTCCTCCTCTACACTGAACATTTCCTCACTTCTAGTTTCCTCATCATACTTCAGTTCTCAACCTCCTCTGTCTCTGTAGAAGTTGACACTTTTGTCCCCTCCTTTGTTCTTGGCTTTTGTGGCACTTTCTTCTTACCACTCTTTCCATCCCTTCTCAGTCACCTTCACTGACTTGTCTCTCTCTCATCACTTCATAAATACTGCGGCTCCCCTGATCTTGGGCCTCATCTTTTCTCAGAATCTACACTTTCCCAGGTAATCTCATCCAATACCTTAGTTTTAATTACTTCCCCAAATTTTTGTCTCCAGTTCAAATCAATATCCTGAGTACTGTTCTCACTCTACTCCAAGTACCAAGAGTTTTCTCAGTCAATCATTTCTGCTCTGCTCACCTTCCATTCTTAGACAACCTGTCAACCTATAGCCTGGAGGGGCCAACCTAAAACCCGTGTCAGGTCATTCTCTTTCCACGGGTGGTCACCTAACCCAAATGGTCAGGTAGATTCTCTTTATCTTTCTGGAATTTGAAATTGAGGCTTGGAGGTAGAAACAATTAGTCAAAGAGCTATGAAGTCATGGGGAGTTGAGCCAATGGAGAGCCCAACTATGTTCCCTGTCACTGGATTCTATGAGATTCTTCTAAACCTTCCAATAAGCCATGATTGCATCACCCAGTTTTATGGAGTTTTCTGACCCACACAGGCAACTTATCTTGTGTATACTAATCTCCTTGCTAGAAATATATTTTTGGATGGTATCTAAACTATTGGAGGTACCCTAAATTCAATATGTGCAACACAGAGCAATTCATGTCCACACTCGGCAATCCCAATTATACTTCTTATCTTGACTATTCGAAGCACCTCTCCTTAATTTACTGCTTGGAAATCAGAAGCTCAACTAATCTGACTTCTCCCTCACTCTTTACAGCTAGTAAATCCTCGATGCAACGTTAGCCACCATTTCCACCTCTAAATTGTTTTTTTATCTTGTGATTTCTTGCCTATGTTACTACAGTAACCTTGTGCATTTTCACCCTACAAAGTGCTCTCCCTAAATCGCATATATGCTAATGACTCTCCTGGCTAAAATACTTCAATGACTCCACCTTTATCCCTTAAGAATAAAGCCTGCCAGGTGGCTCAGCCTGTAATCCTGCGCTTTGGGAGGCTGAGGTGAGTGGATTGCCTGAGCCCGCGGGTTCGAGACCTGCCTGGCCAACTTGGCAAGACCTCATCTCTACAGTAAATCAAAAATCAGCCGGGCATGTTAGCGCATGCCTGTAATTCCGGCTACTTGGAAGACTGAGGTGGAAGGATCACTGGAGCCCAGCAGGTCGAGGCTGCAGTGGCTGGGAG